TTTATGGTTTCTCAGGGAAGGTTATTTTATGATACATAATAATAAGTTGTGAGCATGCAAACGTGGTGTAGTGCTATTTTATTGTGTTTATTGTAATTGTAGACAATACACGCGCCGGTCTACACGATTCAGTTCGTTTAGGAGGCGGGCTTCTTCAACTCTGCGTGCCTTTGACAACTTGAGCTAAGATGGATACAACGTCTCAGCAGAAGGATTGAATTTCATTCAATAACAATTCTCCCCACACCGGTAGCAAACTCAGGTCTCTTACCTGTGATGGCGAAGCGCCGAACCGCTACACAAGAGACGGCGGTCAGCGTTCTCTGGCTGAACAAACCTTCCTTTAGTTGTCGGAACTTTCGGAAATGTTGGCACCAAGACTCAGTCAATGAAGGGGAGTTTGTCTACTTTAGTCTCCTATCAGTAGAATGCCCACTGTATCTCAATGTAATGGCCCGGCAATTCAGGCTCTCCGTGACCCAGATCCATAACTGATAGCACATACTTGTATATTCCTTCACTTTTTTGTTCAAGAGGAAAGGACACAGATAAACAGAGCAGTGAATGACAAAAAGAATTGTGTTTTTTCGTTCATTTGATTGTGTGTTAATTTATTTGTTTGTTCTTTTATTTATTTGTTTGTTCGTTCGTTCGTTTGTTTGTTCGTTCGTTTATTTGTTCGATTGAATGTTTGTGTAAAACGAAGTACATGGACACAGAAACGATCATTTAGTCCTAGCAAGAAAGATACATGTAGCTTAATACAGCAGCGGAAAAGAATATAAATATTCCAGAGGCGCCTCAAACCATCCGTGCCAAAAGCGTAGGTTGGCTTTGAGTTAAGGTTAAAGATACGTTATTGTGTGGCATTGAAAGAAGGTTTTGAAAACAAACCCAAAAAAATCCGATCAGTACTTACTGGATGCGTCAGTCATGTTGTCAGCCCTTCTTTGTACGTTTTCTCCTTGTCAAATCACTCTCCAGATCCGGTCAGATCATCAGACC